ACTGAACGTTTAATGCAATTACGGAATCAAAATATACCAAGTTTTTTTAATAGAATATTTGGTAATTTAACAGAAACGTATGCTAGAGAGATAAGTGAGGTTGATCCTAAGAAAAAAGTTTTGAAATTGACAAGTACAAATCTTACTATGAAGTTGTTACCTATAGCCTTTCACTAAATTTTCATCGCAAATCAAATCAACCTTCAAGCTATCCCTATAAACTTGTCTGATTTCGTGAAATGGGATTTTGATTCCCTTTTATACAGTGTATTAAAATTTAGTTCAGTAATTGCCGAAAAAACGGAGTAACACAATAAACTAGTGCAAAAATTCACGTATATATATACTAATTCGTGAAATTCAGATTAGCCAATCAGAATTTCATATCCAAAACATCCCACCCCAAAATTTTATAATTATAAATTTCGATTTTACATAGTTTCAATTTCACACAACAGAATCAAAGACCATATAATATTTTAGCCTATTCCTAAAAAAAAGTCAATAGAAAATTAAAGAGTTGACATCTTCAATTTTGTCGTGGCTGCGGCCTACAACCATATATCAAACGATAACAATGACAATATTCGTAGCAAGCAAGCAACAGTAGTAGTCATGGCAAGGCGTGAATATCAATATTAACGACAGCATCAATCAACGATTATTGTAATAGTAATAGTAATAATGATAAAAAGACAGATAAATATTATTATAAACATAGCAGAGTTGGTCACATACCTAATGATGCTATGCCTGATAATATTAAAATCACAAGAGTTAGTATACTATGAAAAAATGAATCTAAAGGAAGGATCCTACTATATACATATGTGGACACACCACTCATTTTTAATGCCTCAATATTAGAGATGGATATAGGAGTCCAGGTATACCACTTGGTGAACATTCAAAGCATTAGCAAATTCATGTATTAAGCATGGTCATTATGGCCAGCACTGTTCAAATGATAAGGTGCGGCTATCATATAAAAATGGCTTCAGACTATATTTTTAAGCAGCAGTAATTATCATAAGATATATATTGCTATTATTAATATATAGCGTAGAAAATAAGAAGTTAATCTATGTTAAATTCTTTTATTCTTGTTTATCTAATTGTGACTCTTCTTGGAATCACCGTGGAAGATATAAATGCTACCTTATTGGAGCTAGTGAATATTTTTTTGGCCACTCATATAAAAAATATAAAAGTAATAATATACATACATCCAAATACACACTCGCATATATGATACCTTCTCGAAAAGCAATCGATGAAAGATGGTAACAATAATCTATCTCAACAGCTCGCCTCTTGTTCATAATATTACGTGGCTCATTTTTTTAGATAAAATATTTTAGATAGCTTTAGAAAGATAAACAGTGCTGAAAATTATCATCACCATCACCATATACCAATGTTGGTAGCAATACTGATATTACAAGGACGTACAAATTATCGGAAAGCCTGACATTCTTATGCACGTTGGGAATACTAATACAGGCACATATAGCATTAAAATAAAAAAAGTATATATATATGAGTGTTTTAAATTCTTGTTGGCAGTGTTATGAAGATAATAATAATAATATCCTATTAAACAATAATAATTGAAATTAATTATTTAATTAATTGGGATTCAACATGAAGTGATTCTCATTGATCCCGATCATAAATTTGATCATATTTGCGGAACATAAACATTGTGGATCCAGAGTATTGGTAAGGAATTGGTTGGTAAAGATCGTAGATTTAATAAGACAAAAGGTAGTGACCACCACTCAAGTTGGTGACATTATCATTGCGTTGTTATTGTTAATGTTAAATTTTGAAAAATATATCGCTAGAATTACTGTAACTTGGAAAGAAATATGCACCTCTAAAAATAATTATTGTAATAGTGTTATGTCCACATTCAAGCTTTCATTATCACACTTTGCTTTATCATTAAGCACTCCCAAACTTCAATTTGATTAATTTGATTTCAATTACTTGATTCAATAGTTTATGTTGTTATAACCATGTTATGATAAAAATCTTTATTATTATCTATATATATGTGAAAAATATGAAAAGTGCTCAAATCAAATTGCGTGATTGAGTTCACTCTTATGAAAATTGTATTCTTGGAAGCTGTAAATGCCTTTTCCTTTTCACCAAGTCAATTATTATTCATTAGATAATATTAATAGTTGTAAATAAATAAATATGCATACAATTTTTTCTATAAATAAAATGTAAAAAAATAAATAATATCAGAGGATGTTGATTATAATTAAACTGTTCTATGTATCATCAAACCATTCTAAGTATCTTGCAAACAATTTTTATTATTGAGATGTTGATGAGGTGCAGTTGAACTTATAGCATTTCCACATAAATAACAAAAATGTGTAGCACAACGTAAACAAATCATATGCTCACAACCCATTGATCTCTGAATTATGGTTTTGCAACCTGGACAATGTTGTGCATTGATTTTAACCCATTTTAATGTTTTCAACTCCCTAACCAGTTCCTCTAGATTCTTCTTTCCATAACGTATTTCCAAATTAATTTTCAATTGTCCTTTTGCTTGTATGTAATCATTTGTTATTTTTTCAACAGCATACATGGTACATGGTACATTTGGACCATGCCTTTTTAAAATGAATAAGAGTAAATAAAATTTACATTAATTAATTTTCAGTAAAGTAATATAATTAATTTTTTTTGAAAAAAAAACCAAAGACTTGCCAAGTTTTTTCACACCAATAACAAAATGCAAAAGAACATTTTGGACAAACGCATAATTTATCATCATTAGAACCTTTTCTGACAGGAGCTTGACATGATTTTCGAGGACAATAGGTGATGGATGGATCTGTCTCAAGTTTTTGTTTTTCTACTAAATTAGAGTATCTATCAGAAGTTTCTTTATCAACTATCCCAGAAATTTCTTCTATTGTTATCGTATGTTTTAATTGACAACCTGGTTCAGGACACTTGACTTGCGTGATGAGTCCTTCTTTGATCAACATTTCAAAATATTTACAAATACAATTTTGACAAAACACATGTTGACAAGATTTAAGTTGAATACATTGTTCACCACGTTTTTCTTCAAGACAAATTGCACAATTGAAATGATTATTTGTAAAATTTTGATATAGACCTTGTTGATTATATGTACTCATAATTGATTTAAGCGTTGTAAAACCGTTGAATTCTGGAAAGATATACATGTGTGTATATAAAATATATTTATAAATCAAATTTTTTTAAAAAAATCATTTTTCAAAATTACAATTTTAACTAACCATCAAAAAGAACCAATGATGATGATATATTCAAAAAATCTAATGTATTATTTTGAATAAATTCAGCAAAGCGAAATAAAACCTTATAAATAAATAGTTAAAAAGTAAAAATATATAATTAAATAAAATGTTTACAAAAAAATCAAAATAGTTTTTTATATTCAATAATTATCTTATCACACTTGTTGTTATTGAAGCAAACAGCACATACCACATCCTTTTCTTCTTGCCAAATTTTTTCTAATTGATTTTCCAATTGCTTTATTGAATCGTTTGTCAGCCAACAGCATTCAAGATCAAATTTTAATATTTCATCAAATGGATAATTTTTTGTCATTGAAAAAGTAATGTTTATAGGAGGTAAGTATTTGATTTTCAAGGGATGAGGATCATCATCATTGTCGTTAGTGAAATATACAGTGATTAAGTCTGATATTGATACTTCAACGGTCAACGATCCTTTATAGTGTGGAAAAGGATCATCAATTTTTTCATATATGAAATCTTGCGGGTATATTGCCTAATTTTTAAAAATTGAAAATAAATAAAATAAACGCCAGAATGATTTGTGAGAATTATTATTATTAAAAGTTTTAGAACATTAATCTTGCTTAATTGTACCGACTTCAAGAGCAAGTATTTCATTTTCTTGTTGAATCGAATTGTTTGTTAAATTTGACATTTTACATTTTCATTATTTTCATTTCTAAAAAAAATCTTTTATATTGTCGATCACAATGACATATATAGTAATAGTAATATAAGTTTTACTACTTTATTTGATTTATTTGGCGTATTAATATTATTTATGTACATCATTGAATCAGCCAATCAAGTTAGAATATTGCTATGCAAAGTGGATATGGTTTCTAGGCTAAAAATGTTCTACATAAAGGGTCTGATTCATTTCGTCGACACCCATTTCGTCACAAAAAAAAAACTTCATTAAACAAATTTCTCTTCACACTTCCCACACACACCGCTTTCCTCACCTAATTTCTTAACTAACTTCCCACACTCCTCACATCTAACTCGTTCGGTCTCTGGCTCGAGGATGAAATAATTTTCGACGAAATGAACATTCGATGAAACAAACTTTCGACGAAATGGGTGTCGACGAAATGATTGTCGACGAAATAATTTTCGACGAAGTAAACGCGACCGAATTTGAATTGAAGCGCAGTTATTTTGCATTAAATCACAGCTAAGGGCTCTGGAAAAAAACCAGGAAAGCTGAATATAATAATAGTTCACGTGATGAAAGTGAATGACTCAATTGGTTAAATTGAAAAATTCATTGCATTATTTCCAACAATAAATTATCTCGGTTCATATTTGTATTGGGTTATTTTTTCTAAAGAAGAAAAGATTACAAACTTCATATTGATATACATGTGTAAAACTTACCTTGTTGCGCTTGACAATTATTTCAGAGTTCTCTTTATCAATTTTACGCTTAATATTTACAAAATCCTCATAATAAGACATAGGAGCTTTTTTCTATAGGTTATGTTTACACGCAAGTTTAGATGTTTGTTCTGCGCTATTCGTCAACACTCTGTATTGGCTCTTAATATTGAAAACACAAAGTCTGTTGCTACTGTCTCAAATCCATCATTTTGTACGCGGCGTATTATTGCGAGTTTATAAAATTTGTCTTTAATGATATGAATAAAAAAGATTGAACACTAATAATCCCAGAATGACCATTAATGCAAAATTTCATGATTTTTTCAAAACGAATTCCATTGTTCACGACAATACGATACAAAAAAATTCCGTCATAACTAATATTAAAATAAAAATTAATGACAATCTTTCAATCCTTTGAATCCGATATTGGCTTTTTTCCCCTGTGAAACATGGCTAGTTTGTCTTTAAATAAACAATAACCACCACCATCAAGACCAAACAGACAAAAGCGTATTTGGACATGGACTTTAAAAGAACCAGTAAAACTTTGATCGGTCTTAAGTGAAGCCGGTAAAGAATGTGGTGCTGTTTTGCTGATGATAGCTCTACTGGAAATCCAATAAACCTAGTTAATATATTAATATATATATATTAATATCAATATTATCCGAACGGAAATCCCCTTTCTTAACGCTAATACTAAAATCGTGAAACGTATTTCTAACGTTTTTAACCCAAAAATAATTTTTATATTAAATAATATGGTATGTTAATATTATATTCGTTCATTATGTATTTTTATTCACAAGGCCTTCTTTTATGTGTCTCGCGCATCCTTTGTGATAAGGTTTGATCTGTAATACTATTACCGCCAATATTGTTGTTTCTTTTTACTTTTAAACCATTGACCGGTTTTAGTGGCTGTATCCGTTGATTATCCGGGCATTTGAGCACCTGGTCAATCATATTACTATTACTATTAATATTACTAATTACTATTATATTACTTACTATACGGTATAATTTTCCGTATAATGATGTGCTCATATTAATATTATATAAATACTATTTATTAAGTTTGAATTTCACGCGGGTGAATTTAGATTCACAAATTATTTTTTAATAGACAAAAAGTTTTTGTCGTAATAATAAATAATCCCAAGCTTAATTAATTCGAATTCAATTTATTTTGAAGCGTCGCCTTTATATAATGACCAATTATATGACCACGTTCATTTCAGTTAAATCTGACATCAAAATAAATTTGTTTTATCCATCAAACCTTAACACATATAAAAATTTCAAAACGTAGTAGTTTTTAGAGAATGGGAAAAAAATATATTTCAACATAAAAATTCTTATATTTTAATAATAAGGTTATAAGAAATCTAGTAAACATGAAATCATGTATATATAATCTTCGGAACCTAAACTACATTCTAATATACAATTTATTATGTACATTTTTGTTTAATTAACGCACTTTTGGCGGTCAATACTTTTACCTAGGCAGTATATAATTCATCATAATATATCAACCCATTCGCCTACAATGGCAACAGATTTACTATCGCCATTCATGATCCTTTCATCTCTTAATGTTCTACCAATACATATCCAAGGATCTTTTGAACCGCCCCATTTCAATAATTCTTCTTTGAATCTTTCACCAGCTTCTCTACTTAATGGATCCTTTTCAAACAAATCTTTCCAAATCTTGCCAGCTAAAGTTCTACAAAAAAGATAACTATAATATCCTGCACCATATCCAAATAAATGAAAAAATTGTGTTTGCCAAGCAGTTCCAGGAACTGAAGGGAATAATCCAACTGTATCTTGTAAATTTGCTAAAATTGATGTAGTGTCAAAATTCGACGATGATTCTGTAGAAGCAATAGATGAATGATATAATTGATCCAGTAAAGACATTACAATTTGTGATTGAGTTTCTATTGAAGTAAATTGTAATCGTTCTTTAGAATAATGTTGTATTAACTCTAGAGGTAATGGTTCTTTGGTTTCATAATGTTTTGCAAACAATGATAAAACACTTGGGGAATAAACAAAATGTTCCATCAAAATTGATGGTAATTCTACAAAGTCTGTTGGACATCGAGTTCCTAAAAAAAATATTTTTTTTTTAAGTAAAGTCATTAACAAAAAAATCAAAACATAAACAGATCTTACCAGAAACATTATGAAAATCAGTACGACCAATCATTGCTAAAATAATTCAAAAAAAAATCAATATGAAGTTTCAAAAAAACTTTCATATGTATGTACGTATTTATGTATGTATATATATATATATATATAGTTAATTTGAAACCTACAATGCATTGCATGACCCATCTCATGGAAAAGTGTTTCAACTTCAATCAAATTTAATAAAGTAGGGACATTTTGATCTTTTGATTTTGCAAAATCACATGTTAGTACCACTATTGGTAATTGATATCTACCAGGTCTACCATTTACAATAGCCCCCGGATCAGAAGTTGCTAAATCATCTAGTTCAGCCGGATCATATCCTGATGGAAGATCGCCTAATGCATCATCATCATCAACTCTTCGGGAACATCTTACAGTGTAATGCGCTGCAGTTTGTAATTTACCAAAACGATTAAACAAATCGCAATAAATAGTTCCAATTTTACCCTCCTTTTCATCAATGACATCAAATTTATATATATCTTCACACCAAGCTTCGCCGGGTAAAATTTCAGATGCTTCAAAAGAAATACCATACAATCTTGAAAATAGACATGATAAACCTTCAATTACAGACTCAACTGAAAAATATGAAGAAATTGGGGGTAATTGTTGTGTTTGAGACGAAGATTTGATTTTTTCTGTGTAAAAATCACGATCCCATGCATAAACAATTGGAAGTTCTTTATCTTTAGTAAATTGTTGTTTTGCTTCTCTAAGAGTTTGTAATTCAGATAATGCCTTTTGTTTATGATGGTCAGCAAATGAACGTAAAAATGTTTGCACATATTCTATTATATCGGTTAATTGATCAATTAATTAAGTTAAAACAATTAACAATGTAATTTAAACAAAATTTTTTTTAAAATATACCTGGTTTTTTCAACATTTTATCAGAAATAAAAACATCTCCGTAGCTCTTCATGCCAATTAATTTGGCTAGTTCAGCTCTTGTTTTTAATAAATCTTCTAATAGTTGAATTTTATCTTTACTTGCAGAATTGATAGAAGTGTACATTTGTTTTCTAATCTCTTCATCTTTAATATATTTCAATACGATTTGTGCGGACCATTGACTAATATATAGGAACATATCATTGTTTTTTCTTCTGACTAAATCTTTGTGGTAACTGAGTGGTAATCCATCTAATTTAGATTCATCTATTTTAATTCCTCGAAGAAATACTCGTAGAGGGGGGTGAATGAATTGTTGCCCAAGCGTAATAATCTTATTAGATAGTTGAACATATTGTTCACGATCAGATGATGGTAGGTTTACTCCAGATTTTTCAAAATCACGTAAAAATATTTTTGCAACTTGAAGCTCTTCTGGTGAAAATTTTGCTGTAATATCAGGAGTAGAAAGTACTTGATTTAATACCTGGATATGCAACATTAGATATGAAATTGTGTTTGGGATAATGCTTAAATTGTAAGGGATTTTATAATAAAGGAAAAGAAAAGAAATACATAATTGCAGACTCACACAATTCGTAATATATTCAAATATTGAAATGACACGTTGTTGATTATGTTAATCAATAAATTTTTTTAAAATAAATTTTATTATTTACCTTATATAAATCAGTATTTGTATTTAAAGAATTCATGTAAAAACATAATTCTTCATATACATCATTAGCAGCATTAACAAAATTTTGATCAGGATGAGAATTTCTTACAAATTCAGCAGTATCTATTACTGAACAAAGTAAATCTGACAATCTATCTAAATTTTTTACAACTTTTCTTAATTCGACGACATCTGTAGTTGCATTTGAGATACGTTGAACTAAGAATCCTACTCTTTTTAAAACTTTATTTGCTTCAGTTTTAAAGCCTTGTGGAGTTGATAATGCAGGGTTTCTAAATAAACCAGTAGGTGTTTTTACTGAAGGAACATTGTTATAGTGTAGTCTGACGCGTTGAAATTGATTGAAGATTTTTTTTGGTATATGAGTACGATACAATTTTGAGAAAATCATATTAATTTTGTCAAGTAAAAAAAAAGATTATCATGAGTTATCGAAAAAATTTCAGAGGCGCAGTATATTATACTTCATGTGATCCTGGTTTAGTTCTTCGCGAAATTAGACTTTCCGTAAATCGGACGTGGCGTTACACGGACCTGGCTAGAATAAATTATCATTTTTTTTTCGATTATGTCAAATAATGTAAAGGATGCATTGTCCTACTTTGACAAGTCAAAGTATCGATTGCAGAATCCATCAATTTTTAGACATTAAGATTTTAAAGCTATTGATAGACCTAGGTCACCCAACTCTAATTCAAGGCTTTGACACTTTCCTACCTTTTGGTTATCACTTGGGTATTCTAAAAATCCGACCTCATCACAATTACATCGCCTACTGTACAAAAGGTCTTTTGGAGTCTCATCCATCACTCACAACAATATCTTTCTTCAACCGTTGCCGATTCATCAACCACTGCTTATTATAACATCATCATCAAATCCATCATCTTTAAATACTGTTAGTTCTCAAACTTGTACTAAAAAATAAATAATTTATGAGGTGAAAGTAAAAAAAGGAGTATTGCTTGAAAGTATTTCTTTAAATGAAACCCATCAGAAGTTCAAGATGCTCAAAATTTTAATGATGAATCTAACTCATTATTTTTTAATGCAATGCTTAGAATACAAAAAGCACAATAACTCAAATATTAGTAAACATTTGGATGAAATTGATAGGTATTTAGATAAGACAATAAATATTAATGTAATCAAATGGTGGAATGTGTATTTAAAAACAGAAAATACTATTATTATTACTATCCCATGATCTTTAATGGCAAAATAATTTTTTGATCTTGCATCCTAATTTGATGATTAGCAAAATAAAAATGGTCAATCCTTCTTTTCTTTGATACTTTTATTATAACTACTCTAAATTTTCTACACAATGGTTACATTCATAGCACTTAATGTTGGTGGTGTATTCTTTAACACTACAAAAGAAACGCTTTTGAAACATGGTGATGGATATTTTTCGAATCTTTTTAATAATGCAATGGAAAGAGTATATGATTAACGAAACAATATTTTCATTGATAGAAATGGTAAATTGTTTGAATATATAATCGAATATCTAAGAAATGATAAACTGCAGAAAAGAATACATGACGACAAGGAATTATTGGAAGATTTATTAACGGAAGCAGAATTCTTTGGAATCAATAAACTTGTCAACGATATCAAATCTCTAATCGATCCAGGAATTGAAAAGATACGTCTTTGGCAACTCGAAGAGTATTTGAGGAAAGGTTATCATGTGATTACAACTGGTATTTAATCTCTTGCTTATTATCGATGCCCTCATGGTCATGATCCTGAACGAATTGGTGAAGGTCGTTATTCTAATTCTAATTGTAGACATACATCTGTTGAATTAGTAGAAGATAATGCTTATTTTGTTTTAGTAACAACTAATAGTAATATTCCTATGAGAAAAGGAATAGATATTGATATTGATAAGAGAACAGTGTTATCTCGACTTAAATGAATATATTTTTTTTTTTCTTTTTTTTTATCCCCTAAATGGTTAATCGGCTATTGATAGCCGATAAAATTTTTCTGATATAAAAAATTTTTTCTGAGGGCATCACTTTCTAATACGAAAATGATCTTTGAGATTCAGCCGATTAATCTATAAATGAAAATCCAGTTGTTGTCCTTATGGTTTTTGTAAAATCTTCTTTAAAAGTTGGTCGATTGACTGTTTTTACTTTGCTGATCGTTAAATTGACCAATAAGAATGATCAAAACCTTAATTTGTGTTACCATTAAAATATACTCTGACCGTTTAAGAGATAATGATAATTCAAATAAAAACGAAATTTTGATTGGATGATCAACAAATCGCGTTTGTTTTATTTTGTCCCAATTTTTTTTTTCTTCGTTATTATAGAATGCCTTATATAAAAAAATCTACGAATGATCAAACAGTTGTAACGAAAAATGTGCCTGTAAAAAATGGTCGTATTGAAAAGGTAAGAAGAAGACTATATACTGAAAATATCATTATTACCTATTTGCGAAAATGATGATATTAATCAACAATAACAATTTTATCAATACAAAAATCCCATTAATAAGAATAAACAACTTTCAGAAAAGAATACTCACAAGGCACAGAATAATAAAAAATTTACAAATGATTTTAATAGAACTCATAGACAAACCAATAAAATCAAAACCTTGGAAGCTCTAATATCTGAAAACATAAAGGTTAAATCTGATCTTGATAAAAAATATAAAGAATTAGAGATGTTGAATAATAGTATTAAAAATGAACGTGATGAATTAACCAGTCTTAATACCACCAAAGAAACGATTGTCAATGAATTAAAGATGAAGAAAACAAAGATTGCAGAACAAGAAAAATTAGTCGAAAGGTTGAATGCAGAATTTTTGGAAATTGATAATATTCGTCGTTATTTACATAATGATATTCAAGATTTGAAAGGAAATATTCGAGTATTTTGTAGAGTCCGTCCACAAACATTCACAGAAATAGATGAACCTCTTGCTGAAATCATATATCCAAATAATAGTGGAAATAAAAAAATTGTGATTTGTTCAATTATAAAAAATTATCGTAGTATAAATAGAAATATCATCAAGGAATATGAATTTGATCATGTTTTCAGACCTGAAAGTACTCAAGAACAAGTATATAATGAGCTTGCACATGTAGTTCAATCAGTGGTTGATGGATATAATTGTTGTATATTTGCTTATGGACAAACTGGTGCAGGAAAAACTTATACAATGCAAGGTTCAGATGCTTCTCCTGAAACAGAAGGGATGATCACCAGGGCATTTAGACATGTCTTTAATCTTGTTAATGGTTTGAAAGTTCAGGGTTGGACTTATACAATCGAAGGCCAATTTATTGAAATATATAATGATCAAGTTTATGATTTACTTCAAATGTCACGTGGAAATGTCAAAATTACACATGACACTGAGAAAGGTTCAACTAGAATTACTAATGTCAAAACAGGTGAATTATATATGTATAGATATTATATTATTTTTTTCCTGTTGAAAATTATGATCACGATTATGAAATTATTTTTAAAAAAAATAAAAATCACATTTTCTTTTATATATAGTAAATCTTGAGTCACCAAATCTTGTCAACCAAGTGCTTAAATCAGCGACAAAGAATCGATCAGTTGCTTCTACAAAAATGAATGATAAATCTTCAAGAAGTCATAGCATATTTATGATTCATATTACAGGCACAAATTCAAATACAAAAGAAAAAAGATTGGGTTCATTGAATCTTATTGATTTAGCAGGCTCTGAGAAAATATCAACATTTGGATCTTTAGCGGGGGATCTTCAAACTGAAACAATACAAATTAATAAAAGTTTAAGTAGTTTGAAAACCGTTATAAAAAATATCAAGGATGGAAATCATATCAATTATCGTGATTCAGCTTTAACATATGTTTTGAAAAATTCATTAGGCAAATAATATATAGTCTTATTATTATATATAGTTTTTTATTTACTTTATTTATTAATTAATTATTAATTATAGGTGGAAATGCCAAGGTATTGATGTTAGTTAATATTTCTCCAATAAGATCATCACAAGCAGAAACTGAAAACAGTTTGGAGTTTGGTCGTGTTGCTAAAGCTACTCACACTGGCATTGCAAAGAAGGTTAAAGCTTAGAGTATCATATAAGATTCATTATTATTATTCTAAAAAAAAAGAAAAAATAGAAAACAACGTTAAAAAATTTTTTTAGGAAATATTTATTCTATTAATATTAATTGTTAATAAAATTGCCCTGAATTTTATATTGAACTTCTTAGTATAATTGAAGATATATGAATTTTTGATGAGTGCAATCAAACAATTGTTGTCAAGAAACATCGACTATTCTTAAGAAAAGCATTTTTATAATTCCTAATCGAATTAATTATATACCAAAGAAAATTATTTCCACACTCAAATTTACGAATTATTCCTAAAAATACTTGGTCGATTTCCTTTAACGACAGAATAGACTCGATTATTTTAGTATTCTCTTTGACAAATAAATTAGTCGTACGAATTATTAGTATTATATTTTCATTTTCAATAGTGTCTTGATTGATTTATTTAACAGTGAGAGAGGTAATAAATATCAATTCCTGTTTTTTTTTTTCTTGCATTTTCAAAAAAGGCTTGATCGATCTCTCTCTAAAGGAATTTAAATTACGAATTATCCTGATTATATCAAGATCTTAGAATATATATCTATTTTCGATCCTTTTTATAATGAATTGGGGGAGTGGAAGAGAATTGTAAATTCCTGATCCAAATTAATTTCATGTTAACGTAAACCAAAGAATAATTATTTTTTCAAAGAAAGTGCATTAGCAACATGTGATTTTTTTTATTTGTATGTTGTGTTGCTAACATTTTTGGGTCATACTGACTGATTTTAATTTTGATTGTCGTTGACTATGAATTACAATTACTTTTAGCGAAGCCTTTAAGTAAAACTAAAGATGCACAGGCTTAATGAAACACGAAACTATAAAAGTGAATTTATCATTATATATGTCGGAATATAGAGACACTCATGAAATGAGTGCCTCTATAGCTAAAAAATAATTTGTTCATGATACTTATGCTTCCACTGCCTTGACAAATTCACTACGTTCATGGTTGGTGAATAGATAATTAATTAGAAAGCATAACATATCTAATCCTAAGGAAGCACTGAGTTTTTAACTCCCGAATCAGTTCTGCAAAATTGTAGATGTCAACGTCCATGTTTTATCTGAGATTAATTGGAATTTAAATTTTGTGGACGTTAACTGGCAAAATGTGATTTATTTATTTTTCTGTGAGAAGCGGAGCTTCATTGCTATGTAATAATAGGTCACTTTGATTTTTTTTTTACATACAAAGTTTACAAAATGTAAAAACATGAAAAAAATAATGTCTCGCTCGCTTGAGCTGTAAAACACATACACACAATTTAATTTTATCATTTACGAGTTGCGCTTACTTGTTAAAAGCGAAATTTACAAAATGTAAAAACACAATATCACGTCAGTTTATTGTTTATTAAATAAATAGTCTAATCAGTCATAATAATAATGGAAAAATGATTAATATTAATTTTACTGTAGATAAATATTCAACAACATTAACTATGTAAATAAAATTGTATAAAGATTTTGAAACAAGGGTTTTATTATTGTTGTTGCTTAATCGCAGAACTCTTATATGATGGTGCTGTGCCACTTGCGTGCATATTTTAAGTAAATATTCGTTCGGCAAGATGCCCAGTTTCAGAGCCTTATTTTTTTTTTTTTTGCTGGATAATTCAAAAAACTTTCTATTATAGAATCTCGCAAAAATAGAGGTTTTTTTGATGAAAAAGTAGCCCGTAATTAGAAAAAGGTAAGATTTTCGGATGTCTGATCTGCACTGTTAGCTCAAAGTCACGATATTTGATCGCTGTAAAAATTTAACTAGAAATTGTTGTTGTTGAAGCTGTTAAAGTTATGAAGAAGCGTCAGGACTAATTACTTGTCAAATAGAGCATTGTTAATTCAAACAACAAACACTTGGTGAGATCGGATTTTTAAGAATTTGTAGAATAACTTTCAAAGGCTATTTTGAATAAGCAAGAAATTAGAATGAATATGATAATGAAAATTCCTCCATTTGACAGAGGATTGCAGTTATTATTAGGATATTTATTTAAAAAATACTCATCAAATGAGCTCTACAGTGTAAATGCTATAAAAAAATGTACAATAAGAAAAATAATACAAAATCAAATAATTATTTCAAATAAATAAATATAGTTTAATTATTAAATATGATAGTACTAGTTCTATTTATTTGTGGTCTTTCGTTTTCTTTATTCTTATTAATATTACCGGAGAAACTTTTACTTCTTTCAATCATACCTTTGCCTATACTACGATCCAATTTCACGCCATATTCACCTTTCTGAATAATTCTTCCCAACTTTCTTAATGCCAAAGGATGTTCTAATTTAGAAGCTTGCCTTAAATAATCTAATGCTACTTTATATCTAACATTATCATGTTCTTTCGATGCCAAACCATTATTTAATATCACAGTTGCATACCAATATTGTGCATCTACATGATCAAGTTTTGCAGCCTCGGATAAATACTTCATAGCTTCTTTGGAGTTTGCTTTACCATTTGCACCTTCGTAATATCCCTTATAATAGTAAAATCCTACCCAAAATTTTGATTCAGGTGTAGAATTCTTTTTTTCTAAATCACTGAAAATCTTCCATGCTTTTTTGTAAGATTTTTCCTCGTGAAGTTGAATCGCCTTTTGAATATCGTGATTCTTTTTGTTGAACGGATTTAATTGTTCCAATTTTATTAACATCTGTTTATGTTGTTGATCATCGGTATCCGGTAAATCAACAGGCGTATAATATTCATTGTCTAACTCCAATATTGATGATGCATCGTTTATAGATCTCGCATCCGAATTATCCATCAGTGATAATAAGTCAATTTTATCATCACCAATCGTATCAACTTTTTTTCCTGCTATATAATCAAAACTCAAGTTATTAAGTGTATCAACCATTTCTTCGATGGTTGATCTATCATTTGGTCTATCGTACCATCCACGTTCTATCACTTGTTGATAATTCTTTGGTGTCCCTGGAACTGATTTTGGTGTCGGCTTTTCACCATTGATTATTTTTGTTTTTAATTCTTCATTTGAGATATTTTCATATGGCAATTTGTTTGTTGCAATTTCCCATAAAATAATCGCAAAACTATTTTATATAATAACGATCATAGTAAAATTTTATTAATTGCAAAAAATTTTTTTTTTTGAAAACCAATTCAAAAAATGATTTTTAGTTACCTATAAATTTCGCTGGCTTTTGTATATTCTTCACCGTTGAGTCTTTCGGGTGCAGACCATCTTTCATCATCAATCGGATCACTAGCTGACTTTAATAATAATGGAGATTCTTTTTCTGTACAAAAGTTATAAAGTTTCGGTTGAAGATTCAAGGTCAAAAATATATTATCACTGAAGAAGAAGAAGAAGGAATAAGAAAAAAAATTTGAGTCATCAATTAATTTATCATTAATTAATAATGAATAATAAATAAAAATAAAAATACCTTCGTAAATCATAGTGCAAAATATCTTGATCATGACAAAATTTGATTGCATCTGCTATTCCATAAGAAATGGATACTTTTTCCGACCAATTAAGACGTTCAGGCTCTTCAGTAAGTATAGTTCGAAGATTATAATCTCCCCATTGTGATATAAGAAAGAATCCTGCTGGACTTTGAGAATACCCATGACTATATAATTTATTACTTATTAATATATAACAATATGATATATATAATATAAAGAATATAAAAAATATAAAGAAAACTTACACGTCTAAAATGTGATGAGATTTTGAAAGTTTTTTCAAAAATAGAATTTCTTCTTTTAATTTAATAAATTCTGGTTCATTATGTGATGGTTTACTAGAAGAAATTAATTTTTCTGCAATGTTTCTCATCCCTAGATACATTTTTTGTTTTACATGATCTTTACTACCCCGAGTGATTGGTGGGTGGACATCTGTTATTTCATCAGATTCAATCTCGTCACTATCGAATGATTTTAAAGAAGTTGGTGATTTATGAATTGTGATTATTTTTGAGAACATTCTAATTTTTCTTTTAATTTTTTTATCCCATGTTTTAGTATTACTGTCGCTATCATCAATATTAGTATCTACCGCCTGTGTTTCTTCTGCTTTTTCTTCTACTTCTTTCTCGTCTTTCGCTCGAAGTAATTTGGACAATTCATCATTTAATGTTGTAATTTCTTCTTTAATTCCTGGTTTTTTCTTATTGTCCTCTAGAATTTTTGCTATGTTACACAGACAATTATTAAAAATTTCGTCACTAAAATTTTTGTTTTTTCCAATCCCTTTTATCAAATCTTTACTTGATTCCAAAATCTTGATTTCGGTGGTTATTGTTTCTTCATAAATTTTTAATAATTTCTCGATTGTGCTTTTTGTTTCTTGGATCTTGTTGCTAATATTATTATCATTAATACTATTATTGTTGTTGTTGTTGTTGTTGTTGTTGTTGTTGTTGTTGTTGTTGATATTAATTGAATTTATCAAATCATCTTTGTTGTCGTTTGTTAAGGTAATTGGCGAAGCAAATAAATAATATTGATCATTTAAATTTTTTGTTTCAAGGACCAAGGTTTTTGACATTTTTAATATATTATTAATTAAGAATAAAGTGTTGTTTTTAATTTATTTAATTATTAATTTTGGGGTTTTTTAAGAAAAAAAATATTTATCTCAATGTATGTGGTATTTATATCAATACCAATATCAATATCAATATTATTAACATCCTAGAAATAATTAGTTAATTAATATTAATATTAATTAATATTTTCTTTATTCTTTTACACCGCATTTTTATAAAAGTTAATTATGAACATATTTGGCAATGATTCTTTTGTTTGATTATAAGGCTAATATTTAACCTTGTTCCATCATCCAAAAACATAGACGACAATAAAAATACAAAGGTAGAACGATGATCTAGAATCAAACGGAAACCTGTGTGCATCATTGAAAATTTTCAATTTTGGACGACAGCATTGTTAATTATTAGTACAACTTTAAAATTAACAAATCATACATATTATTTTGATCAACGCATTCCTATCAAAAATCATGTTTTATATTTTTGTACAAAAAGGTATTCATTTTGTGCGTATCTCCTAATAATAATTTTAAATATTATCACTGAATAATCCACATGCTACGTTCAATAAATAAAAATCTAATGGTTCGTTTATAAGCTAGGTCCATACCGACTATACTGAAGGAAAATATTCATGGTCATGAATGAGAGAACGTATTATATCTATGATTTTTTAAAGTTAAAACTTGATATAAATACAGTCGGTGACTTTATTATTATTATTATTGTTATTATTTATTTATTTATAGTGAGTGAACATAAAATGGCTATATATAACGACTCTCTTTACGGTGGGAAAAGTGAAAACTATAAATATAAATATGTTATAAATGATTTCTCTTCCAAAAAAAAATACAATGAAGAACAAATATAGTTAGGAACATGCAGAAAATATTGATATTAATATAAATTTTCGATTACGCTAAACAATTATGGTCTGATTTTTTTACCAATTATAATCCTATATTAAAGATATATAATGTAAAAACTCAAAGTTTGGTCGAAAGGTTCCTAATCCAGGGTTGGCTGTGATTCAGTGATTGTCCAATGGACCGGGATTACGTGGTGATCATTTCTAACTACAGTATATTAGCGTAATATGTCAATATTAACCATATTTAGCATCAATGGACTCAACGGACCGACTTAACCATATATTCCTAGAGTGTACATAATCACGAATTTTACAATGGCTAATTTTACAGATAAATCAAAGAAACATAAACATAAATATAATTGCACAAATTTTATATCTTTGTTTCGAACTTTAATTTAATACAAAAACCATAAAAAATTTATTTTATTCTTGCTAGAGTTATTACAACTTTAAAGTCATCTCTATTTTCAGATTACTAATTAAAACATAGTAAAACTATATGGAAACACTAATTAAGAGTAATTGGGTGTGTATAAATGCCAATTAAATTATAAAGAGTTTATCAAAGTATGCCAATCATTATTATAGAATTTATTATTATATGACATATTTTATAATTTAATAGAAGCATTAATTTTTATAACAGACCTAAGCAAATAGTTAATGGATCACCTTGATAATCAGTCGAATCAAAGTTTTGATAATTGTTTGCTGATTATTATTATTATCCACTGATTATCTGTATATGCACAAAAAATGTTTTTAGACCATTTTTTATTTTTATTATTCAAAAAAGTATTATATTTCCATTAAAATAGAGGTTAGCACACGGTTAACCGTTTAACCTATCAATCTTGGTGTTACCAATTTTATTATTGTTGAACTAACTAGAATGCATATAGAAATAAATGCATATACCAAAACAACAATCTTTACGTTTTTCCTTTTAGATGAGACTTATGAATATAACTCAATTTTTATATTATTCGGTTTACTCATTTTATCATTATTTATTGTTCATTTTATTCGTTATTCATTTCATTCAAGTTATTCGTTTCATTCGTTATTCATTTCATTCAAGTTATTCGTTTCATTCAAGTTATGCGTTTCATTCAAGTTATGCGTTTTATTCAAAGTGAAATGTTTGAACACTCAAAATTATAACGAATAAACCAATAATTCTTATTCGAATAAAAATTTTGCTATCAGCTATGACTATTTTCTAGTAGAAAAAATTGAAATTGCTATTATTATTATCACTACAAAGGACAATCCAATTGCTACAACTATTATTATTAATTGACTAAAGAAAAGAAGCTAAGAAATATCGATTACTTCTGCTACTACTGTTATTATTATCACTACAAGGACCACAAAGAAAAAATAGAATTGATAAAGAAAAATTCTAATATGCGAGGATCAGGTTGTAAAATAATAAAAATATGACTAGAAAAAGGATTATAGGTTATAATAACTCATTTTATTTTATATTTACGTATTTTTAATACTATATAATCTAATCAAAAAAGAAAAACGTTGAAATTTATGAAGAAATGTTGAAGAAATTTTCTTTTCTTTTTTTTCATAATGAAGTTTCACCTATAAAAGCAATCACTCAACACACAAGCGACACCAGGAATTTTTTTAACGTAGACTTTATAACTGTAATATTTATTTCTATATACAATAAGACTTATCATTAATAGTACGCGTAGCAATAATTCGTTTAACCATAGATCACACAATGTTATTATTATATACAATAAGTAGTACGCGTAGCAATGATTCGTTTAGCCATAGATCTCATAATGTTATTATTATATACAATAAGAATTATCATTAATATACAATAGGAGTATAGTAATAATACCTCGCATAACAATAATTCAACCATAGATTCATTTTAAATACAATGTATTATGTATTATTTTAAGTGAATGTATAAAATGAAATAAACCAACAATTCTACATTGATGACTTTACAGGTAAGTAGTTGAAAATGAAAATTATTACAGAGTAATGACACTTTATATACCTAAATTATTACATCATATATAATTCAAAAAACTTCTATATTATCTTAGAATGAGGTAATCGCGAATTTACATGACCTCAGTCAACAAAAAGTTTCACATTTTTATCGATCAGGTATATCTTACATTTTTCCCGGTAAAAATAAGCTAATTGATTGTTATACATATTGACATTGCCAGCTCCATTTAAGATACCCGAACTGATTTATTCATCTCTGGAATCTAAAAAAGATGAGCTATTTCTTTATGATGAAGTCATTAATATAATTAAAAAAGAAAGGGTCTTTGGTTCTGCATTCCTAGAGCTAAGACAAGAAGATCTTGAAAGATGGGGAATGTCAGGTGGGCCAACTAAAATCATAGTAAAATTGATTAGAGGGATTAAGAACAAAAAACAAGGAAAGTACCATTGTTGTATTTGAATATTCTATATAAACATGTACTGCTTTGCAATAATTTCATATTTTATTTGCTTCATACATTCATTCTTTTTATATAGATCAGAAGTTTCAAGATATACTAATTTATGCAATCCTTACTCACAAAAGTTGTTATATTCTTGTGCTGAAGAAATATGGAAATGATAATTCACAGTGAGTCTCGGTATAACGGATATGTTTGTTCCAGGAAATTTATCCGCTATACCGAGTCTCCGTAATACCGAGATATCCGTAAAAAATCGAATTTTTGATTAAATCATGTGATACATGTTGCGTAAAAAATTAAAAAAAAAAAATAATTCATTCACTTAAAACGTTGACATTATAATAATCTTTCATTCTTGTTTGCACTTGTTCTGTAAGAAATTTCACTTTTTAATCTTTTGACATTTCTAATTACTTGAAAATCAATATCTAAAATTTTTTGCTGTACATATTTAAGTATAGTTTCCGGAACTTTTATAGCTTCCATATTAATGATCATCAGCTCAGGTTCATTTGTTTCATTTGTTTCATCGTCATCAACTTCAATTTGTCCTTTTACAATATTTACGATTTTAGCATATAAAGAAATAAAAGGAAATGACATATTGATAGTGTCATTTTCAATAAATAGCTAGAAATATGTTAGATTAAATTGTGGACGTATTGCTGATTATTATAATTTATTTATAATTATTTTACATTCTTAATAATTGCGCGTCATTACTCTTATTAGCCCAAAATAGTAAAGATCATCGTTATCCGTAATATCGAGAAAAATTTATTATAAGTGACATATATTAATATTAATATTAATATGAATTTTTAAAAAATATCCGTTAAACTGAATTTATATGAAAAATCCGTTAAACCAAGATAAAATTGTTATAGAAAAATTTGGTTTTGAAAATTTATCCACCAAACCCCCAAATCCACTATACTGAGACTCACTGTGTAATCATGTTAATCCCGCAAACTGCAAGATCTCATTATGGACCAAAGATTTCAAATTTTATATATGGGGCATGCTGCAACACAACCAGACAAAGTGAACATTGGTATCACCAAGAATTTCAGGGATCAAATGATATTATTGCTAATTAGCCATTTTTATTGTAATGCAGATATTCATGTTATCAATGTTATAATAATATTTGAATTAGGCCTGCCCTCCGAAACTCATGAGTTTAGAATCGTTCGAAATTAAATCTATTCTAAACTAGTTTAGAAAATGAGCCCAAATTTCTAAACTTCCGAAACTCCTAAACTGTTTTTAATATTAACAGTAGAGAGATGAAACATAGCGTATAGATAAAATATTTTATGAAATACAGGAGTGTTTATATTCATGAAATGAACTGTATTCACGAGTTTGGTTCAAAATTCACGAACAAGTTCGATTTCAATCATGTGACAACAGGGCTAGTCGACCACACTGTAATTTAAATTCATGTAATTTCAATAAAATTAATAAATAACACATGAAATTAATTACAGCATCGTACTAGGATATGTTTCGTTTCAGACTTGTTCAGTACATTCAACTGCTCTTCCACAATACATAGTCATTTAATTCACTGCTCTGTAAATCGATCACTAACATTTCAACATGAGACTGCCAATAATTTCTTTATCATGATCTAAAATTGATTAACTTTTTAATGAATGTGTATTATGTATGTTGCTAATATGAGAATTATTAACATCAAGAATTTGTTCACAGTTGCCAGAAAATATAAAATTAATTAATTCATACTTTGCTCCTCATAATACTTGTTATTAAAAACAGAAAGTCAAGAAACTTGCTTGAATAATTGATGCTAATAATACTAGTAAATTATTAAAAAAAAAATTTTTGACATATAATTTATCTATTAGATCCATAAAAATGTATTCCTCGCTTTTTTAGTGCATAAACTGTTAAGGAAATAATTTAACAGAATAAAAGAAGTTGCACTTATATATTAATTTAAAGGGATGCGCAATATATAATATAGATAAATCTATACATAATAGCATACTGTAAATCAACTTACCAATATCCATATATTTTACTGTTTTACGTTTTGCAAGATTTGTATAAATGACAGCATCCTAAAGAAAAAAAGAGTCCATAATATATGAAAAATTGTTATTATTAATGTCCATAATTTGTCATTATAATTGTTGTTACATACTTCAATTACACTTTTAAGAAACAACTTTAATGTATTGCGAGTATCTTCATAGCAAGTACTAGAAATTTGTTTTACACCTCCTCTACGAGCAATTCTTCTAATGTCAGATTTAGTTATTTTTTGAATATGTTATTGTTATGAATTATTCTACGACGATTTTTGTTCTGCTGCTTCCAATACCATTTCCTTCTTTATTATGATCAAAGATTATGTTGTTGATAATGAAGAAAATATACATGGTTTTAAAAAGAATAAAGGTTTCAGTATATTATTAATTACATACCTGGAGGAATAATATGTTTATCAGTGGGATCTTTAATAATAGGTTCATCATTAATAAGTTCATCATTAACGGGATCTTCATCAACAATAGTAGGTTCATCATTAACAGGATACTCATCAACTACAGTAGGTTCATCAACTATAATAGATTCATCGTTAACAGGGTTTTGAATACCGCCAGACTTTCAAAAAATAAAAATGTGTTGAGTTGACAAAAAATAATACAAATGAAGCACAAATATCATTAGTGACTTGTATTTTCATTAACCTTTCTAAGGGCATCAACTTCATTGTATCGTTCATTCCGAACTTCCATAGATTCGCTATATAGGTCATTTATTGATTTTTTAAGAGCATCCAATCTTTCACATTCTCCATTTAAATTATTAGGATTTATATTCTTTCCTAATTCTTCTATAACGTAAGTACTCAAATTTTCGAGCCGAGAATTTTAATCCATTTTATATGACATTAAAAATTTTATTAGAAATTAAACGAATAACCAGTCTTGTTATTTGAAGAGAATGTAATTTACTCACAGATGAAGAGGATCCATTACTAAGGAATAAATAAAAGAAAATTTTAATGTTAACTAGAATGGCAATAACTGCAACCACACTGTCATTCTTTTTAGTGAACAACACTTACTCGACTAAAAATTTTTCGTTAATTTTTTGTTTCCTGTTACTTCTTTCTCTTATCGAATTATGCATCTTTTTATCTTTTTTTTCAATTTTTTTTTTTTTTTTTTTGTTGACGCGATTGATTTTTTTTACAGGAAATATAAATGTTGTGTGGTATGATTCTCTTAAAGAAGACAAAGTGTTATTTATTGAGACGAGAGGTACATTATTTTTATTTTTGTGTATTTATTGTTTTATAAATGTATTGATATGTGTCTTTTATTTTATATAAACGTATATTATTGAAATCAAAACGTGAATGGAACGGAACTTGTCTGTTTCTTTAGGTAATTATTATAGAAATCCTTGATGATAATAAATAAATGATTGGTATCATTTTGCTTTTCTCATAATCAATAATAATAATAGAAAATTTCTTAGCAAACACGTAGTGTATGTACACGTGTCACGTGCGTTACGTAATAAAATTTGCGTCAATAAAAAAAATCAACTTTTTTTTATAACTTTTTTTCTTGTTATGAAAATATAAGCATTGGGGGGGGAGTGAGTTGCCCTTTTAAACATGCAATAATATCTACATATAAACAATATTATCAGTGTCATATCATGGTAAATTTTTCTTATTAGAATATGTTTATTCATTGATGCATGTGCAACGCAACACCGTGTTTAACACGTAGTGTACAAATAGAAACTGCCATAATAATAATATTAAATATACAATTACAAGAAGATATCAAGGAAACATACATAACTGCTGCAGAAGAAACAATTTGATATGAAGTTTCCATTATTGTAAATTTTCAATGTTGAAGCATATACTCTACTTTGAACACTTTACAGTCATTCTCATATGTTCCTCATGTTTACAAGGCTAGTTTTACTTGGTCCCCCAATGATATGATGATGCAATTAAATTTCCAGGGGGGTGGGCGTGCCCTGGGATTTATCAAGATCGCATCTATCATCAAGGATAATTTGTGAATTCTACCTAATCTTTCTTTCTTATAGCACCTGGCAGAGAAAACTGTAGATATGTTAGCTGAAAAGTGATGATCCTACTTCTAGGATAAATGTGACTCTACAACAAAGAACTTGCAACTCTAGAGGTTGCAGCAGCCTAGGTTGAAGGATCATAATATTAGGTGTATGTAAATGAGGATCTGTAACTTATTTCAAGCTCAGGGAGGAATCACAATTCAGGGCACTGAAAGTACATTTGTGTTGTAAAATAATATTTCTTCTACAATTAATTATTTTCCTAAATTATATTTATTAACCAAATTTATAATTACTTTCAGTTAGCCCCTTCCTAAAGACAGCTCTAGATATGTGCCTTGACAAAACAGCAGCTCATGTTATAACCTCCTGAATTTCAGAATTTTGTACCAATTGCAGATGCCAACTTTATCTTTCAGGTTGAGATAACACAAAGCAAATGATACACAGACACCAACTCTCATCAACAATTAATACCTATTTGGTAATAGCCAAGCCTGGTCTGAGGGGAGAATATGGGAAGTTTTTGCTCACCTTGATAAAAGTCTTCCAATATGTCCAATTTCTTCACCTGTGGAAAGAAAAAAAATCCACAGTTATGAGGCATGTGAAAGCACTGCAATTGCATGTTTGTGATAGGAAATTTTTATTAAATCTGACACCTGTAATCAATGTCATCAAATTTATTATTCATTTTTAAGGTACTATACAATTGGAGAGAAAAAATTTTTTTTTTGTGACGCACATTATTAAAAGTTTCATTTATGTATTTATTACCTGGGTAATGCAATTGTTTGTTATGTCAATTATAACTTCAAACATATTGAATAATAATCATGAATATTTGATGGATGGAGGCATTCGCATACAAGGAAAGGATTAAATAAGCCAAGTCATGTTTATTTTTTATCTATATAATTAATTATATTTAAAAAATTATTATTTTATTTCACCTTTGTAATGGCATTAATTTCAATAATTCTGAAATTGTTTGTTTCTTAGTGTTAATGATTGAATCAATCACACAAGTGATAGTCAGTTTAGATGGCTTTTTTTAAAAAAGGTTTAGTTGAATTAATGTTATTAAATGTTTTTTTTATTTATAATAATTATTTTTTTGATGTCAAACTCAGTCCAAAATCTATCATATTTATATATTTTAAAATTTCTTTTTTGATTAAAAAAAAAACATTCAAACATTTCAATTAGATTTTATTAGATCAAATGATACATTCAGCAAAAATCTCATAAGACTACATTGTGCATTAATTCTAAGATAAAAAAATCTGTTTTAATGTTTTAGTATAATCAACAATTCTCTTCAATTGTTTTTTTAGAAATAACAATAATTATCTTTTATTTATTTGTTTCTCAGGTCTCAAGATAATTTATCTTATCCATTTTTAGTAATGATAAATGATTTAAATCTAACATAATTATTTTTTGTGGAACTTTTTATTTTCTCTTTTATATCAAGTATTGAATATATATTTCTGATATTTATTTGCAAATCCACTCAAATTTAATTCTTTTCTGCTCACTTTGCTTGTTACCACAGGACCAATTTCTATTTTAAAATAAATGAAAACCTACAAAGTGAATGAAATTATAAAATTATATATAGGGATAGGTGTATATGAAAAGTAATAATAAGTATAATGGTTCTAATGAATATCAAAAAAGCAATTGATTTTTTAGAAAAAGGCTGTGATTGTGGTTGTTCTTCGAGAATTCCCAAAGAAGAATTTGCAGAATTAAGGGAATCATTTCAAGCTCTTTCTAAAACTGAACAAGACATATTTTTAATGGCCCAACTTAAGGCAATGGATGGTGGATTAACAAGCACTAGCAGACGCCTTAAAAAGAAAACCAGATCTAATAAAAGAACTTTCTATCACTGGGACCACAATACACCACTTTGTCAAGAAACTTATCTTAATATGTTGGGAATTGGTAGAATTTATTTTGAAAGTATCAGAAATCATTTAATAAACAATGGTCTTTTACCAAGAATCCATGGTAATGTCAAAAGAATGCCTCAATGGAAAACTAAGATGGTGATTGATAAAAATGTTGCAGGAGTAGTAAAAAATTTTCTAGAAAATCAATGTAAGTTTAAACCATAAGTATTTGGCATACTTGCCACTAGTTCAAATGTCTTGGAGTTTTTTTTTTTCAATCATTGCTCTAAATAAAGTAATACTATGTGATATAATGTTCACTTTGTCTGGCTTTGTTGCAGTACGTCCCATATATGGTACATTCATTCTTAAAAAAACTTTTCTATTAAATTTTTTGTGTATTATGATCCAAAATTTATTAATAATATAAATATCCTGTTGTATTATCACACACCATCAGGTAATTTCCTGTGTGACTAGTTTAGGATTACAAGATCTGTTGCTGCTTTTTATGGTAAGTTTTAATTTTTTATGCATGTACAAGGGAGGGAGGGATGCTAATATTTTAAATATTTAGGGAAAATTCATAGAACGAATTAAAATGAAAAATGATAGAATCATAAATATGATTTAATGATGATACACTTTCAATCTTTTCTGCTTCTTCATCTTTGCCGTCATCTTCATTTTTGTCTCCATCTCCATATCTATCATTTCCTTTTATTAGAGAAAATATATTGGTTTTGAAATTACGAGAGGGTTGTTATTTGTAAGATAATTTTGATTTTAAAAAAGATTATCTTTAAATTATTATGATATTATTATTATTATTATCATTTATTAGTTAATTATAAATTTATCAGGGAATTTACCAAGATCATTCATTAATTCTACAATTGTCGACTGTATTATATAAAAATACATTGAAGGTAGTAAGGAATGGTTGAATATATTGTTATCAAAGTAATTATATATTTCATTTATATACAGGATAATTGTTTGATATTATGATTGATTGATTGATTGATTGATTATTTGGTTTATTTTTAAAATCCGTCTAAAAATGCCAAAGCAATTCCAAAGTATATAATATATATATCTTTATTATCACTAATATTATAATTCGGATTATAGAAAAACTAAAATCACAATAATTTTTTTTCCTTCTCCAAGTAAATTAGGTAAGAAATAGCAACAGAATTTTCTATAAAATACAAAAGTTTAGAGGATTTTTATGAATTAAAGAAAAAAAATCAATTATTATTATTTATCATTTCATTATTGTGGTCATTTCACATCAAATATTAATTTCGAAAAACACAAGAATTTTTTAAATCACAAAAAAGAAATTTACATGACGATGCCTGTTGTTTATTAATTGTTTGTTATTTATTAATTGTTCTATATAATTAAATTATTATTTATCCATTAGTTCGGTTATACATTAAAGTTGCACATTCAATTTTGAATTCAACTTTATATTTTCGATGAACTGTACCCCTGTTCTTTGCAAAATTAGGGTTTAACTTGGTTGAGACATAAAGGGGTTAATTGATGATAAGTTACTATCTGTATTTGTGCAATTCCAATACAAGATAATGATAGTAATATCAACATTAGCTTTGGTCATTCATTTCATCAACATATATGATTTAAGTTATATAAGAGAAAAAAATTTAATTTATAACATTTTAATTATTAAAAAATAACTAGTGCCTTGTGAAAACTTTTTAAATACTGTTAATTTTGATAAATACATACATTTTTATATCAAGTAAATCTAATTCTAATAAAGTGAAATGTTTTGGAGATTCGGTTTAAACCATTCTGCAATCGATGGACTTTTGGATAAAGAAGACTTAACATTGGAAGAACTATTAGACGTCGAAGATTTGCTGCAAGAATGCAAAGCACATAATAGCAAATTGATTGAATAGTATCCTTTTGAAAAAAAAAATAAAAAATTTTTTTCTCAAAATGATTCAAAATCAATTTTATTACTATCGCTATTTGGTTTTGATCAATTTATCTTTGATGAATTCAATTCAAATCTTTTTTCAAAAACTTTAATTAGTCTTCGAAATCCATCGATTCTTTCTCAACTACTTGGTTACATAATTCGTGAAGATTTGGAAGATAGACAAAAATACAAGTATGTTGTATATACTTGATGAAAATCATATTTGGATTTATATATTTCACAAATATATTGATTTTTTTATACGGGAAAAATTTACATAAAGATACCCATATATTGCATGTGAAATTCTTTCATGTGAGATTTGGCCAATTTATGAAGCGATTATTGAAAACATGGATTTACTTGTTTCTTTTTGGCAACTTTTGGATCGTCCCCCTCCACTTAATCCTTTGCAATCAAGCTATTTTTCAAAAGTTAATACTGTACTTTTACAAAAAAAAATGAACGAGGTATTAATTCATTTCATGATAATCTTTAAAAAAAATTTTTTTTATTAACAATAATGTTAATAATATTTGTATTTGATAGATGGTTAAATTCATTCAATCAATTCCCAATGTTAATCAAAAATTTTTAACTCATATGGAAACTTCAACAATAACGGATTTATTACTTAAATTAATTAGTGTGGATGAGTACCCAGAAGGTGCTGGGGTTATTGATGTTAGTGGCAATAGTATCAGGCTGTGACTTTATTCATTGTTTATGGACTTTTAATGATTGCATAAGTTTTAATTTCGTTATTTAGTGGTTAGATTCCGAAGGATTAATTGAGGCATTAGTTTCTAAGTTAGATCCTTACCTTGATTCTGATGTAAGTTTTTTAAATTAAGGAAAAAAAAAAAAAAAAAGTATTGTTAAAGAAAAAAAAATTTTTTTTTTGTTAATTAACAAAAATACTCTACTTGAAGATCCATTCCACAGCTGCTCAAGTTATAAATGACGTCATTGGTATTTCTCAATCAATTAATACTGAACAAGGGGGGGTTGGTCCAAATGCTTTAAGTAGAAAACTTATAAGGTGTGACTTTTTTTCTTAATAGAGATTTATTAACAACATACTGGAAAATTTTCCATGATTTTTCTTTATTAATTCTTGTGCGTTGTTTAAGTGAAAAGACAGTGACTAGAATTATCGATTATATGCTTGATCCTGAGGCACCGAATTCAACTTCAACATTAACAAACGGAGTTAGTATTTTTATTCAAATTATTCAAAAGAATAATAGGTAGTTTGTAATTTTTAGTAATTTTTAAAAAAAGTTATTATTATAATTATTATAATTAATTATAATAATTATTATTATTGTCGCATTACTTTAATGATATAATAACCGAGTGATTTTTTATTACTATATGTATGTATATACATTAAATATGATGAATTTCAGTGATTATAATGAAGAAGCCATGTTATCTTTATCCCCACATCAATCACATCCAGTAGTAGATTTAAGTGATATGTTACGCGTATTGGCTAATCGTATTGGAGAATTTAAAGCATTATTATTAAATCCCAAATCTGTGGTATGACTTTAAAGAATCGTGGAAGTTTTCTATTGAAGGTTAATAATAAATATTATCTCAAAAATAACACCTTGTATTTCGAAATCTTTTTAGACCAGTCAAATTGACACAACGATAGGTAAAATGGTGCCACTTGGGTTTGAAAGATTCAGAATTTGTGAACTTTTTGCGGAATTATTACATTGCTCAAACATGAGTTCACTTAATGTCGTTCGATATGACTCATCATCTAACGGGTTTTATGAGTTAAAGCATACTGAAGATTATAATGATTATGGTCAACCATCTGAAGTTGATGGTTCGGAACATTTTCAAACAACAGATACTGAACCACAAACTTCGAAGGATATACAAGTCGTTAAACAAGAGCACGAACAACAACAGCAGCAACAACAACAACAGCAGCAGCAGCAGCAACAGCAACAACAACAACAGCTACAACAACAACAACAACAACAACAACAACAACAGCAACAGCAGCAACAACAACAACAACAACAACAACAACAACAACAACAACAACAAAAAGAAGAAGAAGATGGAAAGCTACAAAAACAAACCGAAGAACAAAAAGAAGAAACACAAACACAAATCGAGTTGGATCAATCAAGTAATTCTGCTACCGCTACTTCTCCTATACCCATGGAAACTGAACCAATAAAACCTCCACCAGGATTAGAACTTGTCTCACAACCAAACAGATCAAGTAGTCCGTCACCTCCAGAACTACCAGTTGGTGATTTGCTCAAACTCAAATTTATAGAACATAAAATCATTCCTACATGCTTGGTATGATTGGATGTTAATAATCGGATAATATCTTATGTTTATACTTATATTTTTGTATTTTGTTGATATGTTTAGGATCTCTTTTTCAATTTTAAATGGAATAACTTTCTACATACTGTTGTATACGACATGATTGCTCAAATATTTAATGGTCGAATGGACATTGGATATAATAAAGATTTAGCCATTTCAGTTAATATCATCATTATCATCATCATTATAATATTGGAAAAAGTTTTTTGATACTAATTTTAACTGCTGTATTGTCAAATATGATTTCAGGTGTTTGTTGACGGAGAAATCACTAAACGGGTTACCAAAGCACAAAGGCTTAATGATTATGAAGTGTAAGTTTGTTTTATTATTTTATTTTATTTTTAATGTTTTAGTTTTGATAAATCTCTTTTTATTATTTATTTGTTTGTTTGTTATCATTCAGCGAACAACCAAAGGGAGTAAGGTTAGGCTATATGGGTCATTTAACTGTTATAGCAGAAGAGATTGTGAAATTAATGGATCGATTTGCAGTAGAGATTGGAGAAAAAGTGAGAGGTTTGCGTTTATTGTTATTTTATTGGAACTATGCATTCATTTAAGAAATTTATATTATTGTATTCTTTGGATTTCTCAAAGATATACAAAAATTTTTTTTAAAAAAAAAAAAATATTGTTTCTCGATTCAACTCATTTTAAAAAAAATTTGTTTTTTTTTTGTTCTAGAATATATTGAAGCCGAGGATTGGCAGGAATATGTATCTAAAACGTTACGTGAAACAAGAGAGCGAGATCGTGCTCCACTAGGTGGACAAAGACCAACTAATCATGATAGTATGTCACCAAGTCGTGAAGGAAGTGAAGACGACGAAGATGAAGACGATGCTATTGAAGCAGTTGCAGATGGAGATATGGCCGATGATCAGGTTTGTTATAAATAAATATATATATATATAAATACAAAAGTAATTATAATATCTAGAATAAAAAATTTTTTTTTACTCAAATAACAATAACGATAGTTTGCAAGGTATCTTTGTCAGCAAATTACCAATGATTTACCAGATAAATTTGGTTCCTCGGATGAAAGCGATGAAGAAGATGAACCATGGATGAAGTTTGTAGGATTTATTGATTTCAAATATTTATTAATTCATTGCTAACCTCATTTAATTAAATTCATATTAGCGAGGATTTTGATAAGGACACTGATTTCGAGATGCAAACACCACCAGCAAATATGATCGAAGAGGTAAAAAAAAAATTAATATATTTTTTATACATACACATATATATTAATGTTTATAATATTTTTATTTTAGAATGATATTTTTGAAAACAGGCAATCGGAATTTGTTGGTGAAAATTATGAAGAGGTTAGTTGGTAATTTCACGCATACATGTTTATATATATAATCTATTATATTTATTGATTTATTTATATGTTGTTTTTTTTGTAGGATAATACAGAACCCGTCACTGAGTTACCATAATTTTTTGATAAAAGACACTTAATTTAACAAATGATATTTATTTTTGCTAAATGAATGATAATTCCTGTATAATATTTATATATATTTATGATCTAGACAATTAATTGTGTTGTGAAAACCTCCCCAAAAAGATAATTTAATAATTTCAAAAATAATCAATTCATCAAAAATATATATTATGTACCTTTAATTGTTTTTGTTTAAATTTTTTATCATCAAATCAGAAAAATTTTGTTTTTTTTCCTTACGCATGGCACGGAACGTCTTTATTTATTATTATTATTACTATTACTATTAAAATAAAAATAAAAATAAAAATAATGGTAGGCTAGCATAATATTTATATTCAAAAATTATACACAGTCGTTTCATTTTTCAATTTAAATCTTTTTTTATTAATACAAAAGGGAAGGCGGGCGATAAATGGCATATATTTTAATTATTGATGATAATAATAATAATAATAATAATAATAATAGCGATAATAACGACATAATCTAAGAGGATCACACCGATTTCTTTCTTAATTATCACTACGCTAATTGTACGAAATAAATGGCAGACTACGTAAACCAAAAAAAAAGTTGGCGTCATTACCAACCCGAAACCCAAACAAAAGGAAAAGATGGATGGAGGAAAAAAATTAACCATTTTGTTTTGTATCATTCTCCAACATTTTATGTCCGACATCGGGAAAAATTATTGGGTAATCCAAAAATTTTAACTTCTTTGTCAATATTCCTTATAATTATAATTTACCAACCACCGAATGCTGTGATAGTGTGATACCTTCTGACGAACATCTTGGTCTTGATGATATGTCGTGTGGTATTACCGCAGTCACAGAGCCGTCGGCCATCTTCACCTACGTAACGTAAAAATTATGTGTATGCAATTTTTGCAAATATCTTGCACTTTGATAATTCTTACTCGAATGAAAACTTTACGCAAGCGTAGTGCATAATTACCAAGTTATCGTGCAAAAAGATGAACTGCGTAAAATACTTGTGCAAGCCTTTTATAATTGCACAAAAGTTACAAGTAAAATGAAGGCGTTGTTGTGTACAAGCTTTTTATAATATTTTTGCGATATTGATTGATTAAATTACTTTATTGTTAAAGCATTTAAAATTATTGATGGTTATATATAATCCTCAAGACACCTAACCTAAAGTCGTTTTCAATTGAAAGAGGCTTGCTCTCTCCTATGAAAAGTTTTACAATTTTTGGTTTTTTTGAGTGATCTAAGTTTCACAGTAAGATAAAAGAAACCTAAGGGTTTATAGTTATGCAAATATAATCAATAGCTGTATATAAAACATACAATCCTTGCCATACATTTACTTTATTTAACATAAAGTCGTTTTTAATTGAAGAAGGTGCTTGTTATAAAAAAAACTTTATCAACTAATTTTACCATTATTATTACTCAAGCGGGAGATTTATATTTATAATTTGTTTAATTACCATGTAAAGAAATATTTTCGTTTCCTTTTATCGAAAGCTCTCTTGTTGTATACGATTTCTCTATTTTCATATAAAATAGAATTCTTGATCTTTTTGTGTTTTAAAAAAAATCTAAAATTAAAAATATCCAACTAGATAAAGATAAAAACAAATTAGTAGTTCTAACATTCAAATGTTCTCTATTTTTTTTAATTTAAAATTTCGCAACCTATAAAACTCGATTTCATTTCTACGAAATTGAATAATAAATCAATGCACAATTAACATTCCAATAAAATAAAACCCTCAAAATCATTGT